CCCCAAACACACACGGCGGATCGAGGATTACAAACGCCGAAGCACGCACAGTTGCAGTTCGAAGGACCAAAACGCGAATCGGCCGATGGAAACCCAACAGAGTACACAAACGTGTGCGAATAAAGTGTAACTTTTAGTTTCAATGAGATTAGTAATGATATAGTTCAATTTCTAGCCATTGTAGAAATTATTCAAACAGCGGGCATGGCATTTGTCAAACTCGAGAGGAACAAGGTAAAAGGAAAATGGGTAATCATTCAGACATGACGGGCTGTGAATTGTTCACGGTTCCACCAAATCTGCTTTATGTAGTGAGACAGAAAAACATGGCCTATTCAAGAAGGCGTCATGGTGCAGATGCGAACACAAAGACCAAACCGAACGTTGGATGAGAATGAATAAGACGAGGCACAAAGGGGACTTGATCGAACAGATAAAACTAAAGTGATTTCAAAATGAACCACTTCACGATGGGTTAGACCGAGAAGAACAAGAAAACAGCATCACCAATAACCACAACACAAATGCAGTATCATGCATTCGAGAAACAAAAGGTGTAAAACTCTTGAGCAGGAGCCAATGATGCGGCTTACCAGGCGAACAGTTTGTGATTCACACAAAGTTCGTAAAAATGGTTCCAGACCGGGACACGATTGGCAAGAAATAAGTGCGTCCACATCCACCTCGGGTGCTCCCATATTGTCCACAATACAATTGGGGTATGGACCTGGTAGAATTAAGAAAGAGAACAAGTGTTAGACGTTAATCAGATGCATATAACGATCGATCGAAAACGATTACCGATTCTAATGAATCTGTTCCTTTCTACCTGCCCGAAATCGATAAATCAGAACTCAGGTAATTACCCTGAAAAACGCGTACTTGGTAAAATATCCAGTTAGGTCCATTGAGGAGTTATGGGTAAGGTATAATATGTACGTGTAACGTTGTTTACAAGTCGAGTAAGTTTAACACAATATATTCATGGAAGATTCCCATCAGAATATCAAAAGACAAACAGTAAAGTGAACAAGCGTGTTTTCGTAGCTTCGTCTTCAGGTATGTACATTCATATACAAGTTAGAAATATACGTCATTGGCTCATTGAAGTTAAATGGAAGAGGACGCGATTGACATTGTTGTTCTCATCCACTTAACCATAATGAACCAATTAAATTTGTTTTAAACTTGTATATAAACATATATAAACATACATAACTGAAGACGAAGCTACGAAAACAAGCTTGTTCGCTAAACTTTTTGTCTTTTGATATTATAATATATCTTCATCATCTTGAGTGAGGCTCAGATGGGCACGACAAACTGACATTGATCGCGTACACATCTGGACAAACGCATTTTACATTTGCATCTCGGAAAGTCGAAAAAATGCATCCGTGAAACAGAACTGATCTGACGATGGCGTTTGGTGAAACAATTCTTGCTGCAAGACAATTACAGATCACCAGCTTACCATATGATTATGATGGTACTGGAAAACGGCTCACCGTGGTTATCCACTCAATGTTTTATTTGGGCAACGAGATTTGCACAAATCACACTTCCTTAGCTGTTTTTTGTGTGAAAGCAGGTTGATTTTGTCGATAGTGCCTGAAGGAATCCGTCCTACACACCTGATTACTGGCATGTGCACATCTGAACCGGTTATTACTGACTAATGAACGTTCCGGAATAATACACACACACACACACACTCTTTCTCTCCCATGTTCAGGTATTCGTCTTCGACAGTCGTATTGTCGTTGGGCTTCACCAGCCGATCCGAATGTCGCACACAGCAATAAATGACAAAGTTACAGGAGAAAATGCTGTGCGTTTATGGGCGGATTCAGCTGAATCCGAGGACTTGGAACATCGTATCGAACGCAATTGCGATAGGAACGAATTGGGTAACGATGAAGTCACTTACTAACACTCGTTGACCTTCAATTACACATCTAGGGCTGGAGTCACTGGTTGAAGGGAACATCACGTGTTGGCCCAGAATGATAATGTACTCAACGGGGATTAAAAGTTAAGTTTCATTTTTTGCAACCATGCGATGGTTTTGGTTTTTGCATCTCATTTGGATGAAGCAGTGAAGGGAAGAAGTGTCATCGGGAACAACAAGTCCACGTCTTTAAATAATGTAACATTAACAGGCAACTGGTAGGGGGATCATTTGCTCCAAAAAATTTAATCAGTCGATTGACCACAACTATTTCTAAAATAATAATCAGAATCAATCGGTCTTGTGAAATAAAACACCTCTCAGTTCGGTGAAAGTAAACCGGGGAAAAATCATTTAGTATATACAATATAGTTTAGCGGATGATTGATCAAAGAAATACCGAAAGTTTTTAGCATGTTGTACCAACTGCTAAAACAGATTGTAACAGACACTGAAAGGGAGACGCTTGTCGGTGATCGCTGTAAGTGGGATTCACTTTTAGTCTGATCTTCGATGAAGCCTGGTTACATTCATTCTTCAGGTGATGCACTACTACTCTACATTATTTGGAACATGCTATGGAAGATAAGGGCTAGTGGGTAAAATAAAATTCTCCAACAAAAAGAAAACTGCTATTATTACTTAGTCTGCACATGATAACAAATGCTCACATTATGTTGCCTAGCTTCGATACAAGGCAATTGCCGAGATCTTTACGAGTTTCGAGATTATCACGTGGATATACAGATGAAAATAGTTGAATCCGGCTGCACACACCACACATGATTTTGTGTGAACCCTTTCAAGGGTTAGCTACAAGTGAACTTCAGTAAAATGTTTTGACAAACCATCGATAATAAGGTTTTCTGTTTGCTCAACATACAACATTTTTCTGCAGATCGGTATCGATTTCCGAGACAAGTTATTGATTGTTAAGGTGACCATGAAGCTGATGTAAAGCTATTCTCTACAAACCACGTGATGGTACCTCCAAACAGAGGTGGAGGTCGACATACGAATTCGCTAGCAACGAGAGGCTAAAGGACAACAACTTCCAGTGATTTATGTAATTAATCAAAGATTCGTTGTTCAGTGAAACAGAGAAACTATTTCATTTCAAAGGAACAATTACCAACAGAAAAATACTAATATTTTGGAAAAAACGACGATATTGCATAGACAGTTGATCGCAGTTGTAAAGGTCAATTCACCACGCCAGTCAAAAGAACAATCATTTAGGTTTTGTACTATTACACTCCTTCCGTTTGACCACCATCCCGAGTTGTAGTGGATGTATCTGCTGTTTACAGATCACGTTTTGATCATTGCAAATTCACTTCTTAGCAAGCCACTTGATCTCGACATATTTGATTTACTTTAATAAACATTGAAATCTGTGCATCCGGAGCTGTCAGTACTTGTGGCTTTAACCGTATACAACATAATGTGATACATTTGTTAGTATTCGAGAATTACTCCTGTCCTGGTTCTTGTTTTCCTACCCCCTTGAGTTAGCGTTTGATCCATAGACAACATGACACATTCTGACGATATGTTGGTATCCGCACTTATAATCCAAGCCGCCCCCCCTTCCGACTCAATTAACTATTATTCATTCCACATCGGTCCTCATGTCAAATTGATTATAGCGACCTACCCGCTTCCCCTTGAACTCTCCTCGTTCGAGCCGTTTCGTTTTGTTCCATTGCAGTTCGTGTCCGACTAAGACACATCAGTACACGCATTGCCGATAAAAAAAGCCGTCAACATGGACGGATTGACGGTGATCGGACGATTCCACCCTTTGAATATACTGTTCCCTTTGGTGTTCGGCGTTCTTTGATCTGACGGTACTTAGTAAGGGGCTCGACTCGATATCCCGTTCCAATCTGTTTCTGAGCCGGATTGCTCACAACTTGAGATATATTTTGCATATTGTTTGTTTATCTACGCCTGAGTGAACGTAGATTACCAAAGTTTGTTCTGTTTGCTTGGACCCGGGGTTCATTTTCTTTGCGTCAGTCTGTCACTAGACATCAAGTCGGTACAGCACCGCTATTGGTAGAGTTCTGATCTAGCAGGTTTGCGCGCGACGTGACTCAAGAACACCACTTACCAAAACCAATCAGCAATTTGAAACTTATATGTTTACTGTGAACTTGTTGCACCCTTTGACCGGCTGTGTTATAGCGTTTCATGTGACGTTCATAGGCCTTTGAATAATCGATTTATCGCATCACCATCCGATTTCTAGTCGTATTTCCTACTCAAGGGCAACGTTTATGCGGATCAAAAGCACCTCAACCAATATTTCACCTCCAAAAACAAGTTTCTCTACGTAAAGGCGCGAAACAGTTCGAGACAGAAGAGCGTGAGCGGAAGGGACTAGCAGATAGCGTTAAGTCGTACAACTCCGACCACCTTTTGGGCAGTACTAACATCAAATCAGTTGGCTAAGCTGGCAGTCACAAGTTTCCATGGATGTTTGTGTATTCTGGATTAAGAATCTAGGCCCAATAAAAATATCGGGGACATTCATGGACGTGAATAACTAAGACAGATTCTGTCAAGATAGAAAACAACGGAGGAAAAAAGGATCGGGGTGCTTTGTATCTTAGACCGATTTTGAAAGATCTCGCGAGTTTAAAGTTGTCCTCAATATTTCCTTGAATGGTATTTAAAGACTGTCATGTGTCATTCAAAATTTTCAACATTCTAGAGTACTCTATTCTATACATCGCTTCATTTTACACACATAGATACATCAGTTTATTAGATAACGCACCTCTACCCATTACCTGAATAGTTGGGCATAAATATCGGAGATTCGTATCATGTACCTACTTAGCTTCTAATAACTTTGACAGCTGTCTTGTCCCAACCTGAGGTAGCGCTATTTTGGACAGAGTTACTAGCAACCACCATGAATATTTTTGCTTACAGCTAAAAGTCTCTGTTTCCATTAGTAGTGGTTGCATCACCTTATCTGAAGCTCATTCTGGCTTACAGCACATCTAACTAACAGGAACTAAACAATGAAAGATCACATTCAGGACGCTGTCTCATAACAACATTGCTCTTTACAAAAAAACCCTGAGAAATAGGGCCTTTCGGTTCACCTACCAACAGTTCGTCTACACACTGGAACCCTTTTACCCACTAACTGAACCCAGTTTCGGCTTATGCCGATTGACACCTTTTCATAATGTTAGTCCTACCTCCCTTCGTCTGAACTCATTGAGAGGACGTGAACAAAATGCCAAAAAAGGCGTGACCATGAGTCAATCAAGTTCAGCTACATCCTGATCAAGTTCGGGATCCAACGTTTAAACGAGAGGCTTTTACATACCCCATTAAGGCTGCCTGTTGGCTAGATTCTCTAGCATGGATCAAGGATTTATGAGGACCGGGTGAACGGCCTAGTTTGGATCCCCCATAGTCTAAGCGATGCACTTGATTCGTTCTCGCGAATTCGCAAAATAAGTTTAAAATTAGACAGATCTCTACTGTTTCCTTTATACACCGGTGTGTTCCATCCATCCTACTTCAATTCTCTCCTGTTAACTTCTCTGGTTTGTTTACGAAAGACGTCTAGACATTAAGCCGTCTCTCTCAGTCTCGTTGACATCATCATCAAACTATTATGCAATCGCTATGCCAGTGAAAGGTCTGTAAAGAAGAAAATCATGGAAATCATACAACCCTTGTCTCGTAATGTATCTGCACGCCACACAATTCCACCAAAAGATCCCAATACGGACTTAGTCGCCTTCGCTTGCAATGACTTCCCAGTACCATTGCTAGCTCATTTTACGCTTAACTAAGTGAAACTCGCAGATGAATTTCAAAGAAAACCACAGTGGTCAAAAACGCGTTTCAATCTTTTGTAATTTTTTAGGTACTTTTAGCTCACATTCCCATGTACCAATCAATTATTATTATCCGGTTCATACTTTCAGCAACAAAATCAGTTCCATTTGACCGAAAGGCTTCTAAGTCACATGGGGCATGTGTTATGCATATCACCAGATAAGTTGCCACGGTGAGCGATGAACGCCGAGGAAGGTAGTGGGTGGAAGAAAGTTATGGATGGTCAAGCTAAGACCTGGCAGGAGGGTGTGAAAACTCCAACCAGGAGTCTGGGTTCACTTAGGTCCTTGGATGGGGATCTCGGGATGATCATACACGATGGTTAGAAACACTGAGTAATATGGCTGGGTGTCGTAAACAGTGGCGTTTGTGCACCTTGTCGATTTCTCTGCAAAATTGGTGCAATTAAATCCTAAATTTTCTCTTCGATACTACTTTCAACCTCTCCTGTCTTTCTTCTCATGTTAATCCACATGGGCAATCAAAAGACAGCACCCAAAACCGGCGCACGATAATGCATGGTTAATGGTTGTAGAAACTGAAACTGAAACTTTCTTTCGTGGTGTGATGAATAGTCTGGAATGTCTCAGAGAGTGAGAAGTCGGTGAAAAGCAAATTAACACACAAAATAACCCATTGTTTCTTTCGAATGTCCATAAATAATGTGCTCAACTAGTAATTGCTTTCCGCATTGCACTGGGTAATGTAAGCTCACTCTGGTTTGAGAATCACCACTAAACACTGGATCGGTGTATGCTGTGGTGAAATGCACATGGACAAAGGGGCTTACAGTAGAATGTCAAATCGATACAACTTGGGCAAGATGTAAATCTGTCGGGTGTAAATGCCTATCTGTCGTAACTTTGCGGTGAGCGACATCAAACCTGTTCAGGTGATGAAATGCATACTATCGTGAGGAATAGTTCGTACAAGAGCATCATTCACCTCTGAATTGTCTATCTCTCATTGCATTTGCATGGGTTGCAGCGCCAGGTGCATTCGACTCTCCTCCCCCCCCCCCCCTCCCCCAAACACACACGGCGGATCG